GCCAAACACTACAAACCTTGACGTGCCTTGTGCAGGGGATAGCCAGTATGAAGGTGACGAGACGCCGTCGTGTAACTCGAAGTTCTGCCTCTTTTCTACCAGCATGGCTAAGATCCATCGGCTCAGGCCCGCTCGACGAGCTGCTAGAATGTGCATTCCAGCCATGTCGTGCTGATTATAAATTCAAATTTGGCATCCAATACCACATTCACTGCTTCTTATAAAATAGACAGGCGCACATGAAAGACTTCTATTCTGGTCACGCCAGTGCGAAGGCTTTCCATAAAGACGGTCACTTTGACCGCCTCGGGGAGAGAATAGACTGCCATACCGGCAATAAAAGTACGCAAGTCATGGACAGAGTCACCAATTCGTTCTTGCCCTGTCGGGCGGCATGGAAAGGTGATCGAAGCGATATGCCTGGTCAGGCGGCGAGAACTTTCGTCAAAGCAGCTTCAGTGTCCAGGAGGGAACCATTGCTTCGATCAAATTGCCGCACGTCAGTGCCGATTCTCTGCGCTCGACCCCCGAGCTGGGAGATAGCTAGCGCCACGCGCTGTTGCTCGGTGTGTGAATGGCGGGTGCCATGGCCATCTCGACCTCTCTCACCCAGAGCATGATATTCTCTCTATCCTTGCCCTCGAAAGTCTTAACCATGAGCAGCTAGGGTCGAGGGCTCAATTTGCTGTTCTTACAGTATTTTAGATTCGCTCGTTCCGAAAATTGAGACCTTTTCAACCAATTATAACTCAAAAGCTCACCGCCAGCCACACAACATGGAAGCCAAGATAAGTTTCCATGTCCGGCGATACCTACGCGAGTGTGAGGAGCGAGGCGCACGACCAAGCGACACAACTGTCACTTCACACCTTCGTGAAACATATGCCGAGTATCAGCGCAAGCCGCAAGGCGCTTTGCGTAAGGTCGTGGCCAAAGTGCTCAAGAAGTTGCAAGCTGATAGCGAAACACCCAAGCGCTCGCGATCCGAAAGCAATACCGACGACGAAATGCACACTCAGCTTTTAGAGCAACAGCAAGCCGCTTTAGGTGTTGGTAACTCGTTGAATCGTGCAATGCAACAAAAGTATGCTGGCCAGAACGCTGATAAAGTAGTTGTTAAGAAGATAAAATCCCTTCGACGACGCGTCGTTGGAAAGGAGGATGACCAGGATCGAAACAGTGAATGTAGCAGAGGATTTGTAGTAGATCGACCCCGTACCAGGTATAACGATATTGGAGGCATTCAGGCCATTCTGCAAGAAGTAAGAGAGCTCATTGAGTACCCACTAACCCACCCAGAAGTGTACACACATTTGGGCGTGGAGCCTCCGCGAGGTGTGCTGCTACATGGACCTCCTGGAACTGGCAAATCGATGCTGGCTCATGCTATTGCAGGGGAGTGCGGTGCGACATTTTTGAAGATTTCAGCACCAGAAATCGTGTCAGGCATGTCTGGAGAGTCTGAGCAGAAGCTGCGGGAGCTTTTTGATGAAGCCATTTTAAGAGCGCCGTCTATCATTTTTATCGATGAGATTGACGCAATTACACCCAAGAGAGAAACTTCAGCACGTGGCATGGAAAAGCGAATTGTGGCGCAGTTGCTGACAAGTACTGACTCATTGAGTTTGGAGAACACTGGTGGCAAACCAGTCGTTTTAATTGGCGCCACTAATCGACCGGATGCACTTGACTCGGCTTTGCGTCGCGCAGGCCGGTTTGATAGGGAAATTTGTTTGGGAATTCCAGATGAGTTAGCAAGAGAGAAAATTTTGCTGGTGTTGGCGCGTAAAATGAAGTTAGAGGGCGACTTTGACTTCACCGCACTTGCTCGTCGAACGCCTGGATATGTCGGGGCAGATTTGGTTTCTTTGACAAAGGAAGCTGCAGTGGGTGCAGTGAATCGAATTTTTACAAATATCAATGCGGAAAAAAAGCTGACTGAAGATTGTGTGGGGCTAGAAGAGCCGGAGGCAGACACAATGGACAACGTTACGGAGATGCCAGCGAAGCTACTATGCGACGCGGAAGAGACTTCGGCAGCTGATGAATTCCGAGCACAAGTGAAACCTTTCACGGAAGCGCAGTTGGCCCCACTAAGCATCACAATGTCTGACTTTGAAACTGCAATTCCAAAGGTTCAACCCAGCTCAAAGCGAGAAGGCTTTGCTACAATCCCTGATGTTACGTGGGATGACATCGGGGCTCTTGATGAAGTGCGCGAGGAGTTGGCGCTTGCAATTTTGCAACCGATTGCTCACCCAGAACGCTTTGCAGCTTTGGGATTGTCCATGCCTGCTGGTGTATTGCTTTACGGACCACCTGGTTGTGGTAAAACGTTGCTAGCCAAAGCTATTGCACACGAAAGTGGAGCAAATTTCATAAGTATTAAAGGCCCAGAGCTTCTTGATAAGTATGTTGGGGAATCAGAGCGATCAGTTCGTCAGGTTTTTCAGAGAGCTCGTGCTTCGTCTCCATGTGTAGTATTTTTCGATGAGCTGGATGCATTAGCACCAAGGCGATCGAGTGATAGTGGTAATGGTGTCAGTGAGCGAGTAGTGAACCAGCTTCTGACTGAGATGGATGGCTTAGATAGTCGTCGCAACGTGTTTGTTATTGCTGCAACGAACCGTCCGGACATCATTGACCCTGCAATGTTACGTCCTGGTCGTCTGGACAAATTGTTATATGTGCCGCTGCCACAAGCTTCAGAACGCCATCAAATTTTAAAGACGCTTTCAGCGAAATGTAGTATTGCACCATCGGTACAGCTCCAGACTATTGCTTCCGATCCTCGCTGCGAAGGCTTTAGTGGTGCCGATCTAAGCGCGTTGGTACGTGAAGCTGGTATTACAGCATTGCGTGAAACCAGGTTCTCAGCATCGGATGCAGAAGTCGTACCACTGAAAATCGAACACCATCATATTTTAAGTGCGTTCGACCGCGTATTTCCTTCCGTATCAAGGGCAGACCAGCGGATGTTTGATCAGATGAAAAAGAATCTTCGAAAGTCTCGCTCGTCTATGACAAGGAGGTCAAGCAACACAACTGAGTCGTCTTGCACAGAGGCTTTAAAGGAAGAAGTTGCTTCAAATGGTGATGCGATTGCAAATTGCGATGCTGACATGAATATGAACAAGAGGTAGATATTGCAGTGCGTGAAAAGTCCAAGAACATTTGTTTGCATGTTGTGCCAAACGCCTAACAACTTCAACATAATTAGGACACGAGACTGTCGGAAAATAGACCGTGCGCTCATAGATGCTTGTACATGTGCGCCGTTTAAAAGTCACCACAAAATGTCTTTGAGGCATACAGCACACAATTTTCAGTGTTTTTTGGTCATAGCATCACTATCTGTGACTTAAGACAGAACATGGAGACCACAGCAACATTGATGACTTTTTTTTCATTATCTTCAACGTGCGTTTAGTCTGTAAAAGCGAAATTTGTAAAGGTGCTTAAGATTAGAATTCTCTAGATCTTAATCTGTGTACATCACCCCTCAATTATATAACGATCAGCGCGCAAACTTGTAACAAAATGCATTACTACTAGATTCCGGGGATCACGCCTTCAAGCCATTTTGTCACGTGATCCAGCTCTTCCGCACAAGCACTGTGTTCCATCTTCGGGTACGAGTGAAATTTAATGTTTTTCACGCCTGCTGTCTCTAGTTTCTCTTTCGACATTTTGCCATACTCAAAACGGACCACTTGATCCTGTTCACCATGACACATGAGCAGTGGTACATTTGCTGTCTCCGGTGCGACCTGGAATGACTATGCACATGAAATCCACATCCTTATCAGCAAACAGTCCACACCTTTCACTCATATCCAGCTTGAACGTACAGCATAGCGAGGCAAATAACCTGACATTGAAATGATACCTCCAAGTACCTTTTTAGTCTGGTAGCCCGAGAAGAGTGACAATGCTGCGCCCTGACTGAATCCACCCAACACAATACGCGACAACGGGATACCCGCCGCCACCTCTTTTTCAATGATAGTCATGATACGGTCGCGGGAGGCGTCAATTCCGTCAGCATCATCTCCATTAACGCGGGCCAACGACTTAATGTCGTACCATGCGGGCATGTGCATACCCATGTTGAGGGTTACGGGCATGGACGAAGCTAAAAGTGAGATCGATTAGCATCAATGAAAGATTAATCAAGTTATTGGACACGATACCGGTTGGCAGCACAAACTTGACATGCGGTAAGCCCTTGGCTAGCATAATCATTGCGTCACTCCATCCATGGCCTGTGTCACCAAGGCCATGCAGAAAAATCACCTGTCATACGAAATCATTGTTGGAGTGGCCTGAACGTGACCACATTCAGACAAAATCTCAACCTACCGCGGCTGTGGGCTTTTGAGGAGAAAGGACAAGGTTGTTGTCAGCATCTGTTGTGATTCGACTTGAGCTCATGGCCTTCAGACTGCTTGCGAATGGTCTGCGTGTCGTCGCTACACAACGCAAACGCATGTAGGATGACCAAATTGTGTACAATTACATAGAAATTTTGTATGACGGTTGACTCAACTTGGTGATCTCTATTCTGGCTTCACAGGAAACACTATATCACAATTGAGGAAACAGCTCTTTTGCACATGAATCGCAATCACATATTGTATAATGATACAATCTACTACTCTGTTGTATACGCTATTTATTTCCACATTCAGCTCCTTTGATGAACGCTTCAGCTAGATCGCTTGCTCTTCGACTTGTCGGTAGTGTTCCCATTGACAGCACCAAGCTGAACATCTCTTTATTGTCTTCCTCAGTTTGTTTGCTGTTGGTTGCTTCCGTCGTCATAGCAGCATACTCCATTTTGCCTTTTACAACATGCAAACTTCAGGACATGTGTAGCTGTTGTAGTTGAAATACCCGTATCCAGGATACGAGCTAAATATAAACTAAAATATAGAGATGGGTTTAAACTAGACCAAACTACACTTTCCAGAACGATCTCCTGTCACAAGAACAAAACACAATTGTATGGCGACCCAGCTGTTCAGATCACATCGTAGTATGACCAAAACAAATTCAACGACATTTTTGTCCATCGTCATACCGAGCATGAGGGCCAAATGCAGAAAACACGTTAGAAACTTGCGAGCTGTGCGCGAGTGTTGGCGTTTAAAAGCGCTAAGAAAGCCAAATTAGACATGTGTGCCTTCAACAACGATAAACTCCCTTTGCTAAATTTATTCATTGTAGAGTAGGAATTGTGGGACGATTCTGCCAAAAGCTAATGTCGTGGACAGGATAGTTCTTTTCTGCTGGCTTCAGCTGTCGCGATTGAAACAGCAGGACCCCATTGTAGATTGGCCACTGCATCTGTACCAAGAGAGTTTCACAAAACGGTTCTGTCTGGCCAATCCAGCGCAAACAAAGATAACATAACTCGATTCCCGACAATTTCCCAGAGTTCAAGTCAAATGATGTTGGGTTTGACGGAAGAAGCGACGTTTGGAGCTGAAGAAGAAAACCCCTTGTATACCCCGAATCCGATTATTCCAGATAGAGATCAGCCAATCCATATTGTCTGCGACACTTCAGCTTTTTTTACACGCTGCGCTTTGTTCCAAGACGACGCGAGCAAGTTTGAGCATCACGAGCTGAACGCTTCTGGTTGAACTACCCTGTTCAAATCAACCTCTTCCTTTGTTAGAGATAGTTGCATTTGAAGGGATAAAAAACATCCATTGAAACGTTTCCACAAGATTCATTAGATCTCAGTCTTTCCGAGTAGGCGCAAAACGGTCTACTGGGACTACAGGATTCCTCGCGAATGGTTCGTCATTCGCTCTGCACTGGATCCCAACCCTTCGTATTCACCAGCCGAAAGCGAACAAAGCAAAGATTTTGTGCTTTTGCAGATAAAAAAATGCAAGTACTGCGGGGCAGCATAGCAGCGAAGAGATATCTCTCTTTCTCTTTATCGTGACTGAAAATTTGTCGCCTCTACCGTGCTCGTTGCGCTGGCATTGTCAGCAACTTACGCATAGAAGTTGTGTACCGCTCTGAATGTGACATTCACCTTTTCTCGAACGTGGAAGAGTAAATGCGAGAGTACTTAGTGCAAGTCGCTTTCGTTTGAATCCTCTATGATGGCGGTAACCGTTTCGGCCTTTGGGGGGAGTCGGACGTTTTTGCATTAATTCGTGCTGATAACCCCTGAAGTAGCTTGCCAGTTTTGCCTTCCTGACGGGGTAACACAAACTACGAGTGGACCCGGTTCACCTCGTAAGTCAGTGCAAAAATCCGTTATTTTTAACCCATCAAAACGTCCCAAGCTGGGAGTATCTCTTGTAACAAACTATTGCACGTATGTGCCCAGGCCGACCAGCTTGGACATCTTAAGCAAGACCTGATGACACATTCAGAGCAATGTCAAGCCCATGATAATCTAAACCTCCCTCATCTAGAGGGTGAGATTTTCTCTGTCTTAGCCCTCGGGGGCCTGGACTCTTAACATCAGCGCCTTACGGTGGACGGCACTTGTGGGGCACTTTTGAAATTACCTTTCATCGCATTTTTGAAGTTGTTGAGTACCTCACGACTGGACGACCAACGCTTTTGTCCCTTTGGCCGCCAATTTCGTGACTCCCATCAGATAGACACTTTTGTTCAGCTGATCTAATTGTCAAGCAGAGTCTTAGACATATCGCGACTAATTCTCTCAGAGGAAACAGTCTGCGCATGACATTGCAGCGGAGCTGCCGTAGGTCTTTCGCTTAGAGGAAGCTTGGTTAAGGTCGGTGACCTTCGTTGTATACTTGAACCAGTACGACTGTAGCGGGTCGCAATCCGCTTACTCCAAGAGTAAGTACGACTTAACCCAGGACTAATTAACTCTTCCGTGTAAAAAAGCTCGCTGAATATATTTGCAGCAAAGCCAACTTTTTCAGAATCCATAGGTTTTCCTATATATAGTAAAACCTATTTTAATGTATAAGTGCTGGCTGTTCCAGCCACGTACTGACTAGTAGTATAAGTGTAGTCACATCATTGTGTGGTTACACCAGATTGAATTACACATTATTATGTGACCCACACTCTTCATACCAGGACACGTGAAATCCTGTTTTACTCCCCCCCATTACGATTGTGAAAAACGACAGTTTTCATTCAGCTGTCACCTCGAACGAGGCTTGCATGTCTAAGACGCCACAACTAAACCGGGACCGTTGTCACAAATTCTCTGCTCAGTGATCCCTGTGTCGAGGACACTAGAGACGCTCTTCCTCACTGGTTCCGAGAACGTTCCCGGACAGTGCCCTTCTTCCTCTCCTACACGCGGTTCTTCTCCGAACAGCTCGTCCGAGGCTTCAAGGGAAGCGCAGCCCAAGATCTCGGTGCCGAGAACCGCGCAGCGCATTGTCAGCGTCATGGTCGGACGACCAAGGACACAGACGCGATGTCTACTCTCGACTGCGCACCACGCCCGCCACGTGTGATGGATTACTTCGTCGAAATTTAGAGGATGTCGACTACGAGTCGGATACTTCTTTCCCAGGATGGGAGGAAAAATGAGGCTGGGGTGTCCCAGCGGCCCAACGTGAGCCCTGATCGAACTTCGGGGACGCCGTGTCTGTTCCCTGGGGGAAGTGGTGTCACTACCAACGACCTCGACAAGGCGCAGAAACAGCTGTCAAAAGCTTTCCGCAGAACGGCTATCATGCGTGCGCATTCACGGTCGGTCCTTGGCCCTCGTGTGGAATACGGCTTTCGCTTGGCGGATCCCGCTACAGAAGCGAGAGAAGCGATCGCTCGATTGCTGGGCGTCTACGTGGTCGGGCCCTCGGCCACTAAACAAGCTGAGCTTGACGAACAAAAAACTCTCCGAGCTTGCTTCTTGGCTCTTCAAGAAATCTTGATGGATACGTACCTGCGATTTAGGGTTCGGTCGATGTCTTGACCAGATTGGCTTGTATTGCAGGTCCACTATATTTCCCTTAATATTACGGAGATTTAGAAATCATAGTGGACCTACAATATAAGCCAATCTAGTCAAGACATCGACTGAGCGCGATGCGAACGGTTTCTGTGGTGCTCGCCCCTGGCGAAACCGCTTCAGATGACGATTAGACCTTTGAGCAATGGGTTTAGCGGCTCCGGAAACAATCCCCGCTGTACAACTTACAGTTGAGCCACAGGGAGGTGGTCGCGCAAGTGGAAAGCCAGCGTTGTTTTGAGCTTGCAAAACGCAAAGCGCGTTGCGGACATCCTTCGAATTGTCGCCCTACGACGTACGGGTTGATCCTTCACGCTCCCACGAGTTCTGTGGTCTCAGAAGCTCAGGGCCATAGCTTGAGCTCAGATCATGGCCCTTCGGCCTCCCTGGCTATTTCCGAGAAGCGCGGGGTGTACAAGGACGCGAATCGTCATGAGCGTTCACAACATAAGCGTCCACAACGTCAGGGCAGTCTTGCCGAAGTGGCATTTCAAACTCCCACGAGTTCTCGAAGTCGGGTTATTTCCGCCACTTCACAAAATATTTGGCTCGAGTCATGGCGACGACGTCGACCTACAAGACGTTGAACGTGATAGTGAACACCACCTTCACGTCGAGAAGTGTTGGTGGCAGACGATAACGACTTCGTCGATCGCTGTCCGTTCACTCGTGATGCTCTTCGAGCTCTTGGGGACGAGGTCCGGCGCGATCGGGAATCAACTGAACGTCATGCTGAGGTCGCATACCGCTGTTCAAAAGACATAGAGAGCTCAGCAAGCGTTGTACACCGGTTGCCTCACGTTGAGGACTATCGCTCTGTCGGAGCGGCTTCTAGCCGTTCAGCAGACAAATGCGACACTTCGTGCGACCGTGGAGCACCTGGCGCCGTTGGAGATGGAGATTGTTGCACTCCGTGCCAAAACTAAGTTGCTGGTTCAGCTTTTGGGCGGCCAAGCACATGTGGGCACCGCCCCAGCGCCACCACTACCGCGTTCACTTGCTCCGGGTCCCGGGACGACTTGAGCAAGCCCACATAAAAACCGGGTGGGTGCACATCCGTTTCAAAAGTTTGGCTTATACGCAAGGCCCCGCTTGACCTCGACCTTAAAAGATTCGAGAAACGGTGGACGGAGCTTCGTCTTAAAGAGAACAGAGACTGCATTTGAGAGAATAATTTTTGCATTTAATAAAACCAGGTCTCCGCCTCCAAAATCTCAATATTTCCGCTTTCTTTTCCGTCTGCATATTCTTTCTGCATGTCTTGGCTTCCAGCCATAGCATCGCGAACGTGTCATTAGACACCCAGTCTGGTAGACAGGAAGCCATCGACGGCTTTACGGACAGTGAGGGGGCTGACATCAGCTAGCCGCTCAGATGGTTCCCTCCACTAAGCCTTGAGCCATGAGATGGTGGCATCGGCGGGAAGGGGGATGAACAAGCCCGTTCACGTAGAACGGTATGTAGCCGGTGGACTCATGCACTGCACTGTTCAAAGCAAACTCTACAAGTTGCAGCATGGCGCTTCAGTGCTTCGGTGTCTCAGAGCAGACGCTGCAAAGAACGTCTTCAACGACGCGATTCACGCGTTCAATTTGAATCGGTCTGCGCATGGTCCACTGTTGACATAGTCAGCTTTGTTCCCAGCACCCTGAAGATTGGCAACCATAAGTTACTAGTGAAGCGTGGGCCTCTATCAGAGACAATTTACTCGAAAGTCCATGTCGTCGAAAGATTCGACCTACAATCAGCGAATCCACACCGTTGATGGTGCCGAGCACTACCGCAAGATGATCCATCTTGCTCAGACGAATCACAAACGACTACCACACCTGTGTTGCCGCCAAATCCTTCGGCAGGCCAAACCCAAAGTCCATAATCATGGACTACCAACACCCCGGAAGGTACCGGTAAACTGGCCAGCGGCGCCGCCGCATTCGGAGAGAGTTTCGACCTATGACACGTCTTACACATGCGCACATATGTGCTCGTTCATTTGTAGAGCTTGGGTCACCTGTCGTGGCAAACCACCGAGCTGTATATCTTCTCACGACTGAGATGACCACGTCGTGGGCCTCATAGAGGATACCGTACTCAATTCCTCATCGTGATGAACCAAAATTCGTGGTGTATCCGTCGAGTCGATGCTATGATACAGCAATTCGTTATTTAACGGTTATTGGTGTAACCGTGCGCGTAATCGTACCAACAATTTCTTGTCTGAGCTTCCATACTCAGGAGCGCCACGCACATATCATCAGTCGCGTATGCGGCGCGGAAAAAATTGTAACGTCACCGTTGTGACATCATCAAGCTTGCAGTCTGGTCTACATGACAGCGCATTAGCCAAAGCATTGTGTTTTCCTGGCGTATACTTCACTACGAAGTCATATTCGTTGTAGAATGAGTGTCACCAGGCATTCGCAGTGCGTAGTGACAAATGAGCTGTGTAGACCCAAACGGCTCTGAGCCAAGCAGGTGCATCCCGAACATAACAAGTGCATACTTTATCGCAAGAAATTTTTTGTCATAGACTGGGTGGTTCTTTACCGCAGCCTTAAGCTGGCAAAATTCGACCGCGATCACCCGATCTCAACCCTTGGCGCCTGCTTGCAGCAGTGCACAG